ATGTGCTTTAGATGTACACTACCTGACAAAAGTCTTGTCGCCTATCTAAGTATTAGGAACACATAATAACTTGATTTCTAGTTAATCATTTGGTATCAGAAGTGGCTTATAAGAAAGGCAGAGGCCATTAGATTAAGCTTATACAAAAATAAAATATGATCATGCCTTGATTTTTTTATTTTTATTTTTATTTTTTTCCTTTAATTTGGACAGTAAGGTTTGACTTTGCTTAGACAAAAGTCTTGTCACTTAACAGAAATAATATACAGTGTTGAATATAGTCATGGTGCAGTGAAAAAACTACTTAATATTGTGTTTGACTCCCATGAGCTTGGACTGCATCCATACATCTCTGCAATGACTCAAATAACTTATCAATAGTCATCTGGAATGGCAAAGAAAGTATTGTTGCAGGATTTCCAGAGTTTATCAAGATACTTTAGATTCATCTTCAATGCCTCCTCCATCTTCTCAAGACATGCTCAGTAATGTTCATGTCTGATGACTTATTGTGGAGAGCATCCTGTCTGGCTGTATCTCCACCTGGTATGGAAATAGCACCAGCAGCAAGCGTAAAGGCCTACATAGGATTGTGGGAACCGCTGGACGCGTAGTAAGAGGTGAGCTTCCCTCCCTCCAGGACATCTACACCAGGCGGTGCATGAGGAAAGCCAAGAGAATTATCAGCGACTCCAGCCACCCATGCAATAGACTTTTCTCTCTGCTACCCTCAGGCAGAAGGTTCTGCTGCATCCGGTCACACACCAGCTGACTGAAGGAAAGCTTCTTCCCTCAGACTATCAGGCGAACACCTAACACACCCCACATAGACTCTTCCATACCATTCCATTCCATTCCATTGCTTTCACTTTGATGGGGAGGCTGAAGTATGAGAAGGAGTGTTATCCTGCTGAAGAATTTGTCCTCTCCTGCGGCTTGTAATGTAATGGGCAGTACAAATGTCTTGATATGTCAGGCTGTTGATGTTGCCATCCACTGAAGATCACTCAAACGGCCCTATACTAAATGTAACCCCAAAGCATGATTTCTCCTTCACCAAACTTGACTGATTTCTGTGAGCATCTGGAATCCATACGGGTTCTAATAGGTCTTCTGCAATATTTCTGTTCAACAGATAATTCATCAGAAAAATTTACCTTCTGTCACTTTTCCAAATGATCAACTAGAAGTTAAGTTATTATTTGTTGATCTTACAACTCAGATCAACAACAAGACTTTTGTCATGTAGTGCACACATTTGGATATTAAACAAAAATATTCGTCAAACTTGAATGAGCATAGTTATTCATCATGTTCATATAATGTGACATAAATAAAATGTATATTGTAATATATAACTAACAAATATATTGTAATAAAAAAATAAATATTAATAGGTTATTTGACTTTATATTAATCGCTTTAAGCATAATAGAATGAAATAAAAAATTACAGTACGTCTGAGCTTGCTACACTGTAAAACCCAACAGTCAACTTTTTCAAATGAAATAAGTGTACTTAACTAAAAATGTACTGAAGGTTAATTCCACTCATTTGAAGAGTTTTGAACTCAGTGTTGAAGTTAATGAGTTAATTAAATACCTCATTACTTCAACTTAAATTAAGTAATTTCAAAGTATTCGTATAGATTAGATTTTTAACTTAAATGGTTTGCATTGCCCAAACCTATTGAGCTTTACAGTACTCAGTTGGTTTGAGTTTTCTTCATTTATTGGGTTTTACTGTGCTCAAATTGCTTTGTTTACTCAAATGGATTAAGTTCACAGTACTCATTAGGATTAGTTTTTTAACTTAAATGGTTTGTTGCAATTGGTTTGCTCAAATGGCTTGAGTTGCCTTAACTTTGGGGTTTTACAGTGATAAAAAAAAGAAAAAAAGTAATTAAATTATATTGTATTGAATGTGCATGTTGGAATCTAAGTCGAAATTGGAATAAAAATTACATTGGAATAAAAATTACATAAAACATTACTGATTAAATAACTTATATATATATATATATATATATATATATATATATATATATATATATATATATACACACACACACACACACACACACAATGAAGGGTCTGACACAGAGGGATCCATTTGCAGTACATTTATTAAACAGAGTTTAATAACAATAAACACACAGATGTTTTGCATGTGCGAACTCGCATCAAACACAGTAGTATCAAGTCGAAGGGCTGGCGGCAGGCAAACACAAGGTGAGTATTCAGGCATGGGTCAGAGGCAGGCAGCGAAGATCAAAGTCGGTATTCAGGCTAGGGTTCAGGGCAGGTCAAGATACAGTCCAAGATAATCAATGGGAAAGCAGGCAAGGATGTGAAACGCTCAGTAGTGTTAGCCGGGGCAGAACAAGACTTCACACTGAAGCGTGTGTGAGTGCTGCTTATATGTGTGTGCCAGGTGATTATGAGATGTGCTGCAGGTGTGTGTGACAATCAGTCAATGAGGGTGACGTAATGTGTTAGAAGTCCGGTGATGATGACCTCTGCTGGCCAGCAAGGGAAATGACTGGGGCAGAGTCGGTGACAAAATATATATATATGTATATATATATATATATATATATATATATATATATATATATATATATATATATATAATAAAACCTTTGATGTCCAGAGCAATTGGATACTGTATGGATACTGTATGAGTGACGATTTCGCCATTGCTGAAATCCAGAGACCGCAAATCCCTCCACCTCTCTAAACAGACAAAACACAATCACCTGACTCTTCAAAGGTTAAGGTTAATAGGCTAATATTGACTCTCAAACTTCACATACAAATTCTAATAACAGCTTTTACCACACTGTGCAATTAATGGCAGCAGTTTAAGCGCTCATCAAGCACTTCCACTGAAAACGTCTGCTCATTACACAGACACAAACAAACCCACATATAAATTTACATATACACACACATTCAAACACAGACACTCATTCATTGTCATGCATACACACAAACACACACACATACAACAATGCCAATTCTACCCCTAGCCCTTCCCCTTACCCCTATCCCAATTCTGATTAGCTTGAAGGTGTAGGGTTAAGGGGAAGGGCTAGATAGCCCCTGAAATGGAAATTTTCGAGGTTGTTGCAAGATCAGTTATGGTTCTAACGAAAATAATTTATTTTATTTATTCAATTTCCCATTAATTGTATTATTGTATTAATCCTAAACACAACAGTTATAGTAACATAAAACAGAAGTTATACAGAGTATTTACGTATGTTATCTAATTAATTACCCAATGAATTGTACTACCACTACCCTAACCCTAAACCCAACCATCAAAGTACTGTAAAATTATTAATTATTGTTATACAGGTCATAATCGTGCTACATTCAGGCCCGTAGCCAGCCGGGTGAAAGAGGTGGTTCTTTTTTTCTCAAAAAGTGGACCTTTATGCAGTTTTAGGCCTCATTTAGGCTACTATTTAATGATGAGATTCCAATACTGCATTTTAGTGACATTTTAAGCAATATTCTAACTGAAATAGATTGTCGGATGGTCAACATAACCAAAGGAGTACATTTGAAAATTAATGGATTAGAACAATAGCCAAAATAGTATTCAAATTAATTTTAATATTGGTCACTTTTAGTGCTTCACACCTTTTCATTTTTCATTTTTTTGTTACAAGATTTAAAATAAAAGTTACTAAATATTTTTTTCTATTAAAAAACAATACAGTAGCAAAAGATGACCACTTTCATCAGATTGTATGTTTTCTTACATAGCTGGATGTTGCACTTAAACAAAATAATTGTGTGCACTTGCCGAAACTGATTAGCTCAAGTCACACTGAAGACAGCCGACAGAAGATTCCACTTGGTCTTAAAACCTTTTTTGATGGCATAGCAGTCAAAATATGACAAATGAGCTTGTGTATGGGACAAATTCTTTCAAACCACCCAAATCCCCCTTGGCTACGGGCTTGATATTGATGTGCATATCACACTTCCGGCTGGTCGTGTGTCGTATCTATACTTCATGCTAAACCAGCCCCGTGCAAAGACTATCAAAGGGGCATGTGCCGTATAAAATATTTGGTTGGGGGGGTTTCTCACGGGGGCACTTCAGATCATTTTGGAAGGCCACTTTCTATCCAAGACTAAAAACTAAAAAGGGCATGTGCACTGCACAGATTGAGCTCTATGTGTGCACGTGCCTGTGCTTAACACTAAATTTCACTATTTTATAATAATAACTCCTGTATAGTAGTCCCACAATCAAAACTACAGCCCAAACATTTCTGGGCCCTTTCAACCCAACTTTGGGTCAAATATGAAGAAACCCAACCGTATTTAATAAATGTAACACACAAGATCAGTTTCTACACATTTAGCCCAAATCTGTGCTTAAACAACTAAGAATTCTTTAGACTAAACAAAAACATATGGCTTATTAAAAAGTCATTTAATTTTTTTATTTTGCAATTAATGCTGTTATTTTGCTTAAAAAAAGTTCTGGGTTGGTATAACCCAATGATGGGCCAAATAAGGCCAATTCCCACCCCTGAGTTAAAAAGCGTAATTTAAATTTATTTACAATGAGTTATAGTGAGCAAGTAATTAAATACAATTACATTGAGTAAATCTCTAATTAAAACTAGATCTAATCCTTGTCCTAAAAGCTTTCTGCATGTTTAGATAAAAAAGCACATACTTTAAAATGACAACATGACAGTGTACTGCCTGACGAATGTTATTAGATCCATTAAATTTGTCCCCAAAGCACAGGCACATCAGAAAGACTCAAACTCTCAGACACACGCTTGTACATGCAGCCGCCACGGGGCTTTTATGACAATGATAATCGCTCCATGTTCTGTCATTTTGTGGCCTCTGATGTCGAGCCAAGATCTGCCATGTTTAACCTACATTTTACTTCAACGTTTACAGCGTCAGTGTGACTAAAATCAAAAAGCATCTGGAGCAGCCTTTATCATGAATGGCACTGACCCTGAGAGCCAGAGGGCATGAGTGGATGTTGGCGTGATGAACACAGTTTTCTTCATTGGCCAACATTGTTCCAGTTTGAGGGGCATTCCTGCTCCAGGCAGCATCTTCTGGCATCTGAAGCATTGCTGAGGGAGAAAGGGAAATATATATTTCGAAACCATCCTGACGCAATAACATCCCTACACATTCCTCATGAACACCATAATCTTTGATGCAATACTGTAACCTCATCCGATATACATTTTTAATTAGTCACAAATTGTTTATTTTGTTTGCGCCTATTGTTTTTTAGGTGAACAATTGATCTGTGTAAGTGAATCCACTGGGGAAAAAAAAGTGTGTTTTAGTAATCTTCAATCATACTTTCCTTCCATGTATGAAGTGGTGCTCCTTCTTCTAAAAATAATTCAATGATGTCAGCCGCAAGATTCCTAACCACACCCCTTTAACCATTAGTTTGGGGGAATGATGCACAAAAAGAAAGCTCCACACATACTCAATATTTCGTTTTTGTGGGTTATATGCATGGCATTTATGCACTGTTTTTCTGCCACCTTTAAGCTTTCTGTGAAAAGCTGATCACAGCAGGTCAACATGATGGCAGATTGACATTGTACCTGAACATCGTAGGATGTTTTTGTTTTGAGATAAAAATCTAGTTGACATAAGAACCCAATGTCAGACCAGTGTCAATGTCCAACGCTGGACAGATGTTGCATTTTGGTTACCGAAAAACTAGAAAAAAATATCAACAAATTATTAATGTCATTTCATGACTTTTTTTAACATCAAAATGGCGGTGTCCTTAGACGCTGGCGACCTAAACCTAACCTAATTTTAACATCTTATGACTAGGGTTGGGTATCGTTTGGGTTTCTTCGATACCGGTACTAAATCAATACTTTTAAAACTACCGGTGCCAAAACGGTGCCTGAACCGATACCTTTTAGCCACAAAATTAATCAACAAAAAAAAAACTATATATATATATATATATATATATATATATATATATATATATATATATATATATATATATATATATATATATATATATATATATATATATATATATCATTATAATTGAACAATATAAATATTTATTTATAATAAGTTTAAAGTAAACATCAATTCATATTTTATTTATTTAAATTGCATTAATACATTTCTTTTGATCATTTGCATTTAAATGCAAGATTTGCATTATGCTATAAACATTACATTAGCTTAGCATTACATTACATTACTAACCTGTGGAAAGGCTGTCATCAAAATCAGGGTGCACTTGGGGCTTGTGACTTCTTTTACATGGACATCAGTGATCTGATGATTTGCCGTAATCTGAATAAGACAATAATATGATTCGGGTGTTTACATGAGTTGGTTTTTGAATGTTACATTCAAGATTCCCAGCTACATGTTATAACACATAGATCAGTAACATCATTGCATCACCAGCCTGTAAATGTTTCCTCTGCAGTTTGTGTCTGTGGTCCTTTCAGATGTTAAAAAATCACTGTTTTTGTGGTAGACTCTTAATCAGAGTATTGTCTTAATCATATTAAAATCAGAGTATTGGTGTCCATGTAAATGTACTCAGATAATGTGTCAGATGATGTCACAAGCTGCCAGAGATGGTCCATTCCTCACCTTTAAGGTGATTCAATGAGCCCTCACATTTTATAAGTTTGACGTGTTTCTCTCTTACACGCAACTTTTGTAAAACATCTGCTGCATGTTGGTGTGTCAGAATCCTTGCTTGTAAAATATAGCCATACTGTAGAATGATTCGTTTAAGCAAATTAGATGAACGCGATCATGTCGCGTGTTGATGAAGTGTGTCTCTCGCCGCATGAGCCGTTTTGCGCGCTTTCCCTGACATCGCTGACATTCGTATCCCTCAAAGCTGTTTAGAATTAAACATTTAGAGATGATGTGACACAACTCTTACTCATGTGTGTCTTTAATGCACCCCTTTATGCTTCTTAAGCTTGTCACACAGCGGATGCACCGCTCAGAGCCGCGACACAGAGCGCACATGAAAGTTGATAGCATCACACACCAGACTTACATATTCGCATGTTATTTAAAATGAAACTATTCAGATGGCGCTCTGTGGCAGGGCAGAAAATTGAACAGTCATGAGTCGCTGACTTGCGAATTCTAAATGCATGGCGATGCGCGTTCCCGAGCGGCGCTTCCGGTGCGTGACTTGCTTAACGTTCTTATTGCAGCACCGAAATTAGGCACCGAAATTAATATGCTGGTTTGATCCGGCGCACACCGGTTCCAAAGGAGTTTCGGTACCCAACCCTATTTATGACTGTGTGTCTGCTGGGATGTGACTTTTTTCAATTTCTTAACAGTTCTTTTAAAGCATTGATAATATAATTTAATTCAAATATATTCATTCAAATGGACTAAAGTGCCTGAGCGGGCTTATTAGAAATTAAAACCCCCTATGCATGTAGCCTTTTGGAAATACTTCAACATACTGCAATAAATGTCTTATAAATTTCTAGTTCATTTCATTTCATTTTCCAGGATATTTTAAGTCAATTTGTACTGTTGAACTATTTGTCAACAATACTGAATATACAGTGCTCAGCATAATTGACTACACCTCATTTTGAAAATGAATATTTTTATCCCTTTCTCAGTAAATATACGCAATGTATTTTGGTGTATTTAAACAAAACAGATCAAAAAGATATATTTATTAAAATAATATCTTAGTCACTATGCAAATTTAGAAATTGAAAGATAATACAAATAAATTCAAGCAAATTATTGCAAAAAAACCTTAACATTTTTTACAAAAATTCAACTAAATTTTCCGCTATTTTTTGTGCTCCTTTTGATTTTTCTTTTTTTTTTTTTTTTTTTGAATTTAAAACCCAAAAAGTTAAAGTAACTCAAACCATTTGAGGGAACTGATTGCAACAAACCATTTAAGTTCAAAAACGAATCCTAATGAGTACTGTGAACTTAATCCATATGAGTAAACAAAGCAATTTGAGCACAGTAAAACCCAATAAATAAGAAGAACTCAAACCAACTGAGTACTGTAAAACCCAGTAAGTTAAGGCAACTCAACCCAATTAAGGAAACCGATTGCCTCAAACCATTTGGGTTAAAAAAACAAATCTACTGTGAACTTACTTATGTTGAAGTAATGAGGTATTTAATTAACTCTACCTTCAAAGAATTTAAAACTCCTTTCAAATGAGTAGAATTAACTTTCAGTCAATTTTGAGTTAACTACACTATTTTTTTATTTGATAAAGTTGAATGTTGGGTTTTACAGTGTAGTTTTTGGGCTGTTATTGAAAGCTTCAGAACTGACTAATCTGATGTATATGCACAAATATAATATTGTATAGCTTATTAATTAAAATGTGAATTTAAAAGATAGATTTGTGAGGGATGTACTTATATATGCTGAGCACTGTATGCACAGAGAACGTATTTGAAGCCTCCCTGCTAAACATTTGTCTTCCCACATTTAGACAGGAATCACACAATATATAACATGTTTTTTTTTTATCGTCTTTTGGAGTTAGATGAAGAGTGGTTTCAAAAAACTTTACCAGATGTTTTTTTTTTTGTTGTTGTTTATTTTATATATTATATTATTAGCTAGACTTTTAATCTTAATTGCGTGTATATGTTTTTTTTAATTACCAAAGACCACAATTTCAGCTTAAACTCTTCTCAGTAGATAGTTTACTCAGAAATGTAAACTCCTTTAACATTTACTCCCACTTGTCTGAAACCTGTTTGAGTTTCTTTCTTTTGTTGACACATAAGATTGAAAGATTGAGGAATGTTTGAAACCGGTAACCACTGAATGCTTTCCCCCCCCTTCTTCTTCGTGTTTAACAGAAAAATAAACTCATGAAAGACTGGAAGCACATGAAGGTGAGTAAATATTCATTGTTGGGTGAACTATCCCTTTAAAGTTCTGTTGAAGAAACATCATATAGCTCTCGGATGGCCTATCGCTTTTCTGTTAATCTTTACAATACAGTGGAGTGCAGTATTATGGTTACAGCTCTGCATGCTGAATGTTAAAAAAAGAGTGAAAGCGGTTTCTGAACATAATAAAGTACATCTGAGAAGGCTGGCATTGTGAGTTGTGCTCACCTGAACTGGAAAATCTTGTTTTTAACGGCGTATTCATGAAAGGAATCAGTGGCAGTGACAGTAACGTTGAACTCCTCCCCGTCGGTGACCTTTTCTGGTGGACGTTGAACCCAAGCTATTTCTAAACCTGTGAAAACATTGTGTAAGTGGGTGTGAAGTCTTTAAACTTTCCTTGAAGGAAAGGAAATATCAAAATGATCCTAAACAAATGTTTATCCACTTGAGTGAGATCTCACCACAGCAGTTTAAATACTGATTTGAATCAACTTCCAAATAAACACTATTTTGTTGGACTACTGTTTAAGAAACTTCCTTTAAGTTGGAAATTTGTGTTTGCAGGATATAATAATCAATTCTTAAAGGGATCGTTCATTAAAAATAGTCCAGTAATTAATCATTTTGTAAACTGGATCAATCTCAATACAGGGATGTGAGGATTTTCATTTGTTAATGATAATTAGCATATTGAAAGTGTGTTTGTGGCTTGTCTGATAAATATATTTTACTCAGCTTTCCCACTCAAGTATTTTAAACTTTTATTGAACACAAACAAGATATGTTGAAGAATGTTGGACAAAGTCTTTGACATTTTAGGAGCAAAAAATTCTATGGAAGTCAATGGCTGTTTTTTCCCCCAGTATTCTTCAGCATATCCGCCATATATGTGTTCAACAGAAGATAGAGAACCAAACAGGTTTGTAATGAGTAGGTGATGAAAAAACGATGACAGAATTTTCATTTTGGGGTGAACTATTCCTTAAAAGCCTGTCATGAATTTATAAGTATGAAACTAAAGCCACCAAGTGTTGCTAAGTCTCTGCCTTAATGAGTGATTCATTGGATCATTTATTCAAACGATTCATACAATTCAATTCAATTCAATTCAGCTTTATTTGTATAGCGCTTTTACAATGTAGATTGTGTCAAAGCAGCTTCACATAAATGGTCATAGTAACTGGAACAGTGTAGTTCAGTTTTTAGTGTTTAAGTTCAGTTCAGTTCAGTTTAGCTCAGTTCAGTGTGATTTAATCATTACTGAGAGTTCAAACACTGAAGAGCCAATTTATCGATGCGTAGCTCTACCAATCCTGAACCATGTGAGGCAGTGGCGACAGCGGAGAGGGAAAAAAACTTTCACCTGATGGGAGTGAAGAAAAAAAACCTTGAGAGAACCAGACTCAGTTGGGCACGACCATTTTAATTTCTCCGCTGGCCTAAAGTCTTGTGCAGAGCTTCATTCGCCGTGGTTTAGGCTGGAAGATGGCCTCAGCGAAGACTCGTCTGTCCCTGGAGCGTCGCTGGAATCAGACTCATGTTCTCCACTCCCCACGACCATCAGCGCAGCAGCAGCTCAGGATATACAAGATACTATATTCATTAAAAAAATACTACTGTAAAACCCAAAAAGTTAAGATAACTCAAACCATTTGAGGAAACAGATTGCAACAAATCATTCGAGTTATAAAAGTAATCTATTTGAGTAGATTACTCAAAAACTAATCCTAATGAGTACTGTAAACTTAATCCATTTGTGTAAACAAAGCAATTTGTGCATAGTAATAACCAATAAATGAAGATAACTTAAACCAACTGAGTATTGTAAAACTTAATGAGTTGAGGCAACTCAAACCGTTTGAGGAAACCGATTGCTACAAACCATTCGAGTTATAAAAGTAATCTATTTGAGTACTGTGAACTTACTCCATTTAAGTTGAAGTAATGAGGTATTTAATTAACACATTACCCTCAACATTGAGTTAAAAACTCTTTTCACATGAGTAGAATTAACTTTCAGTCAGTTTTGAGTTAACTACACTCATTTCATTTGATAAAGTTGACTTGGCTTTTACAGTGGATGTAAATAGCTGTAAGCAATAGCAATAATCACAAATTTTAGGAGTGTAAACGTCACTTTTTAGGCTAATACTTCTTGTTTAAATTTGCTAAAAGGGCTTTTTATTTATTTACATTTACAGATATAAAACTTTCCAATAAATATTAGTTTAAAACCCAAAACAATATGTTTTAATGAAGTCTTAAACAATGATTAAGATTATTTTGGATGATGAAAGCATTTTCAAAAAAGCACAATAGATTGAACAAAGGAACATTCCTAAAATAAGTGAGCTATACTTTAAGAAAAATTCCAAAAACAGTAGGTACATTAATGTCACTTTTAAAACTTGTGTATAAAGGGCCTGACATAAAAGAAAATTGAAATTTTATAATCATATAAATCATTTTATAATTATTTAATACAAACTTTCTTTAACTTAATTTGTTAAGAAAGCTTTAGGGTGGCAGGATCAGTGATGATAATTATTTATTTTAAGTCTGTAAAACTACTTCAGTTAATATTTTAGGTTATTCACTAAAATATATCATTTAAATCGTTCATGGAGCTGAATGCAGTAAATAGTCTGTATAAAAAAGGTTGAAAATAAACCAGTGCAAACAATCTAGCTTTTATAACCAAAATATTTTGCAAAAAAATGATTACTGCAGTAAAATATTTGTAGTCTTTTAATACACATGGTTTTTGTCAGATGTTTCTCACTGGCCTTCATTATATGGGCAAATACAAGAATCTCTGTTTTATCTTATTTTTTTATTTTATATTTTTTGAGAGTCAATTTTGACAATATCCAGATGCTAAATTGAAACTGTTCACATTTATTTTCACATCCGCATAATGATGCACAGTGTTTCCTGAAAGTTAAGCCTAGGAAAAAAATATAAAGAGAGAAAAAAAGAGCAGGAGCTAAGGTTGAACCCTGTGGAACCCACGGGTCAAGTTGCTTGGGAATATCATAAAAAGTTTACACTGGCTGAAATTTTAAATGAAAGCTTCAGAACTGACCATGGCAATTTTACAGATCTTCCGGAATAGACTAGGATTCTTCAGTGACACCAGGCCCAGACTAGGCATGTGATGATAACTGTTTTCAAGGTTTACCAAACTTTATATTATAACATTCCTACAGAATATGTTGATTTTACATGTTTTATTTCATTTTTTAAGGTAACAATATCTCCAGCTAAAAAGGAACCTCCACATCAAAAGCTACAGTTCTAAAATGTTTTCAATGTTTCTTAAAATGAAAAACATTGTGTTCATTTGGTGAAAATATTGTTGTTTTTTACCCCAACATTTAAAAAAGGAACATATTTTAGAGCAGTAATCAACAATACAGTGATATTCTAAGGGCGTACTCACACTATGCTAACCGAACAGTGCCCAGGCCCATTTCCCGGATCGTTTGAGAAGTGTGAGTGCTCTGAATTGGGCTTAGTTTGCTTGGCAGGCCCTGGCCCGGTTGGAAGAAGTGTGCCTGAGCGCGGTTCACTTGGGCTTTGGCGCGGTACTTGTGTGTGTGTGTGTGTGCAAAATGCACCTAAGCCTGAAACTGAAAGCGAGACGTGACTTTTAAGGGACCGTTTAATATGGATTATTTAATCATTCTTACTGTTCAGTTATCGCAAACTGCTGTAGTTTATTTAATACGCAAACCCCTCACTGCACGACAGCTACACCTTCAGCAAACCTCCTAATTCCTGCAGCACGAGGACTTAATGATTTTTTATGAGCGTCAAATGTAGCGGATCTGTTCGACGAAATATTTGAAAGCGTGTCACTGCATATCAAACGACTTATAACGATATAACGATAAAGAAATCTCCACTGTGCTTAGCAAAAGCGCTTACTGAACGATGACGTAAGCGTGCCCAGGCCCGAATGTAATGGGGGAGACGGGAGGGGGGACAAGCATTATCAAAGGTTATCATACTGTCAGAATTATATGTGGGCTCATGTCTATCCCAGACCCACGGCTTTGAAAGTTTAACCAAAATTAAACATTTGCTCTGATTTCAGCCATGTCAGGGCACTTCAGAGACTAGAAAATATCTTTGTTTGATAGGACGATCTTGTGCAAATCAAGTGTACTGTGATGACTTTTTTAAAAAAAATCATTGAGTCTAATTGGTAGATGTGAGAAACTGTAAATATTAACTTCTAGATGCTAATTTTGTAATGATTTGGAGCATAATAAACTAACAAATAATCATAATAAACACCAAAAAAAAGGATCATTTTGAATTATAACTTAATTCAAACAAAATAGTGGAATGCAATGCCTGCCTTAGTAATTCTATAGCCTGTGTATTTGAATAATGTATAAAAATACTAAATACTAAAAATGATTCATTTGATTATGTATACTGCTGTGTGACTGCTCACAGTCTTTGATTGGCTGATTTTTGGTTGATGTTGAAGTTTTGAAGTTAATTGTTTTTACACATTAAAAATAAAACAATTAAGTACTTCCCTAAACACTTAAGATTTTTTCAGCTCATTTGAAATAAATAGATTGAACAAGCAATAAAAAATATTTTTTAGAGTTAATTACATCTCATCATGGTGTAAGAGTCTCTAAAACATAAAGTTAACGTGTACATGTCCTGTTTATCTTATTGAATCGCCGTGATGCAAATGTGGTTTATCTATACAGTATGTAATCAGTGCCCACACCGGAAGAATAAATCATCCTGTTTATGCTGGAATACATCCGACATGAGGACCTACAGGTGGCCATCGAGCTCATATTTGCAAAAGTATCAACAGGAAAAGCAGGTTTCCCGTTACTCACAGTCTGAAGCACGCCTGGAAGTTTAGGCTTGTCATGCTGTAATTAAACTGTGTTGCAACTGCAGGAGCCTGACTGGAGCTCAGGTGTGGAGATCTGCACCAGCTCGTTTTGGCTTCACGGTTGCGTAACAAAAGAAAATTCGACAATTATTATTGTTCAATGCACACTGGGAGTTATTTCTATAAAGAAAACTTCAATAAGGACCCGGCGATGTTAGAAAAAAAAAAGAGAAAAGTATTTAATAAGCTGTACATATTGTGTTATTTATAGATAGTTTCTACATTTAAATATTAAAATGATGAAAACAAAAAAGATCCATTTGTAGATATGAAGCATCACCCAGTGTCACTGTTGTTGTATTATATACTAATATAACATTTAACAAAAAATAAGAGTTCTCTTTTGATTACATTTTTTTTTGTCATTTTGATTTATTATTTTCATTGTTCCCTATTTCCACCTGGGGACACTCATCTCAAGGCCTCTAGAAAGTGTGTAGTACCATTGATCCAAGACCTGTGAAGAGATGACGCCAAACTTGGAGGACTTCAAGAGCTATCCATAATCTTGGACCAGGCTGTATCCTGAGCAGATGCTGTGGTGGTCATAGAGGAGTGGAGAGCATGAGACTGATAGACTCCAGTGACAAAAGACTCTCTGTATTGATTCCGTGGGCATTTTGATCACCTGCCAGTGACCTACTTAAACCTGCAGCTTTTCAACGACGGACAGCCAGCGTTCTTCATCCTCCGGAACTTCAATGTTAAGCTGTTTTGACACAATCTACATTGTAAAAGCCCTATAGAAATAAACATGAATTGAATATCTGTTTTTATATTTGCTAAAATATCTCAACATACTATATATTAACAAAATAATTTTCATAACATGATATTTGTGCATGAACTAAAAACTGTCTGTGATTTGCTCATTCCTTTACGCTGCAGAAATGTTTTGATGGATAGAAAGCATCTTAAAAAAAAAAAACATTTAAAAACTTAATTGTAACAACTCTATTATTTTTAATATTTTGTAATACTACATCTTTTATCTAAACCAGTGATGCCCAAAGTAGGGCCCGCGGGCCAAAGTTGGCCAATGGTAACCTTTGATTTGGTCCACCATCCCATCTGAGGGGAGAGTATATAAAACTTACTTATATATAAAAATAAATTAGGAAATTACCCATGTTAAGTGGGTAGTTTGGTATATTTACCTTTGGCCCTCTGTTCTCAATGATGTTTTGTTTTTGGCCCTTCATACAAAACAGTTTGGGCACCCTTGATCTAACAAATTGTATTTTTTTCTATACAAGACTTCCATAACTTAATTGAATTCAATCATGTTTATGTCTACAGCGCTTTTACAATGTAGATTGTGTCAAAGTAGCTTCACATAGAAGTTCTAGTAAACTGAAAATGTCAGTCCAGTATTTCCAGATTCCCAATAAGTATTTGTGCATTTAATAAAATGTATTTATTAAAGAAATATTTATAGTTGCATTTATTTACTATAAAAAAAACTAAAAGTACATCATTTATACACAAAGATTTTGTCATATTGAATCAAGTGAACATCATACACAAACAGATATTAGCTAAATCTCCTTGAATTTACACGACTGACCATATACAATCACGATTATAGTCAACTATGTACAGTACAAACTTTTATAAAGTCATTATTCTCACACGTGAAGACTACGAAATGCACATGACATTACTCAAATGCGTACATAATAGCTACAATATGATCTAAACCTACAAATCTACATCTATTTTAAGATATAAAAATGCAGTACAGTACAACATACAAATCAACAGATTGACACAGATATTAAACTAGCACAGTGTATGAATTCAATCTGTTAATAAAACTTGTCAACAGGTGAAGAGTGACGAAGTTTAACCTTTCAATTTCACTGCTGTCGGAGAGGAACGTGTTTGGACATGGAGGAGCTCATGCGGGAAATGATCAACAAAAGTGGAGAAAAATAAAAGTGCATTCGTTTGTAATAGGTATGTCTATTTCCACAGAATCCCATGATATTTCATCATTAAAAATGAACAATCGATTAATATTTAACCCTAAATATTAAATGTGTGCCTATTTCAGTGGCACACTGTCAACAAGATGTGTAATTGACTCAAAATCAAGCATCCTCACACAGGAAAATGCTTTTCCTGTAAATAAAATGATAGCTATATACTAAAATAAATCAGTGACTACGCTTACATGAACATCAGTAATGGAATTATTTGCCTTAATGAGTAAGACAATGATATGATGGTGTTTACATGAGTCCTTTCATGATCCTGTTTTACATGTTATAGCACATAATTTGATAAACATCATTGCGTCACCCCGCTATCCCCATTTCCTCCTGAGTTTCATTTTATCAAACATTTCATTCTTTCCCCCTTGTGACAAACAAAATATTGGATGAGAGTATGAACTGCTGGTTGTTTTAATGAAATTTAATACCGCATGCTGTATGGGGAAAAAAACATCTGCATTTCTTAGTAGAAACAGCCATGTGTATAGACTATCCTGTCGCAAAACGAAACTAAAATCCTTCACGATGATAATAGATTTTCTTGATCTTCTTTGTAAATAGGTGTTTTATGAACTGATTCCATTTCTATTTTAAGAGTTCCCACTTAGATATGCTTGGCATTTATAGCAGGTTTGGCATGCTGTCCTGGGAGAGAACCCTGAGCTCAGAGATATTTGAGCCCAGGGCTCCCGCCCGGTCAATAAGCATATCAGGGGATCCGAGATCAGGTAGGTCTCGATCGTTCCCCCTTTAGAAGGGGGGAAAAAAAGAGGAGATGGGGTGGAAGAGGGGATTCTTCCAAAACGAAGATAGAGAAATAAGGAGAAAGTGATCCATTTATATTAAGCTAGGTTAATTCTGATTGGATTATTACTGATTACGGATGATTGGCCAGTAGTGCACAATCATATCACGTGCTCCTCTCGAAATTAGTTTGTGAAACTTCACTTAGTGTTTTCTCTGAACAATGTTTATTTTCAGCGGCATGTAAACTCATTTGCTCACTGTGTATATCATTATAAACGTTACCTGAGCAAACTCAAGGTGGGAACCTTCTCAGAGCGACAGGCAGCTAAAAATTTGCTGCCAGTGTGAATAAGGCAAAAATGTTTTGTTTTTCAGAGGTAGTGCCTCTGCCTTTGGACAAAAGCAGCTGAAAGTATGTGAAAGCTGCTGGTGTTAATAATGCGTTTTTAAATTTACCAAATAAAGTGGTTCTGGTAATTTTAATGCAATTTAGCGATATTAGTGTATGAATGGGTCTTGTGTGAGAAAATTATTTTTGTCACCGTAAAATGTATGTATTATTCTTACCAAGTGTGCAAATGATATTGCGCATATTGAGGAAAATCTGGAGATTGTTTGCTCTTAAATGTCTCTGAAATGGTGAAGGCTGATTTATACTTCTGCGTCAAGCCCACGCGAATGCTACGGCGCGGCCTATGTGTGGACGCAAGGTTCCCCTGTGTGTCTGTCGCTGACGTGCACCTCTCAAAAACAATGTAACTACACGTTGCAACAACGTGTAGCGGCAAGCTCTGTGATTGGTCGGCTTGGTAGCGCTTACGAGTGGGCGTGAGCCCGTTTGAGCTATTGTTTACAATTGTCAAGTAGAATTAGTTCCAGATGAAAAGTTTTGATTTGTGTTTACGTTATGGTTAAACTTGCTGCACATCCGCCGGTTCCTGCCTCAATATGAGCGAGTTTGGACCACTTGTACATAAAGTGAGGTGAACATAAACACCTCAGACAACTAGCGTTTCGGAAGTGTTATTGCAGAGCAACAGTTACAGCTACGCGCGTTGCATGCACCCTGAGTCACGCCAATCACTTGACGCAGAAGTATAAACCAGGCTTAATGCTATTTAGTTTTGAAGTCCACTTCATCAGTCTTTATGTACCTCACATAAAAATAAAGATATTAATACAATACATGTTCATGAGATAAATGTACCAGATGAATTAGACGTGACATTTATCCATTTCAGATAATCTGTCCATGGACCACAAAATCTTTGGATGGTAAACGGATGTCCTGTGCTGTTCATCCAAGAACAGTACAATTGAGTTTTTAATAAACTCACTCATGCTCACTTTGTTGTTCCTTCACACCTGCTGTACGTGTTTTTCCCAGTTCCTCAAAACTATAAACATTAATGACGTCCATTCTCAATCGACCATCAATAAAGTGTATCGATTTAAAGGATTATCAACAATGAACTGATCGTCAATTAATCTTTGGCGTCTCTACTGAGTAGTTCTCACCTGCAGCAGGATTGATTTAGACTTGTGAGTTTGATTGATAAAGCAGTGTTCAGGACTTGAGCATCTCCTGCGTGGACACTTTGCTGTCTTCTGTTGTGTTTTCTTTGAGGCTGCTGGTGGTTTCCCTCTGGATGTTGGCTTTGGATGAACGTTGTCGCCTCGTGCCACTGCGACTGCAGCACAGCAGGTTTTTGATGGTGTTCCACATCTCCTCGTCCCTGTAGGAGTAGATGATGGGGTTCATGACGGAGTTGAGGACGGCGAGGAGCAGCAGCCAGCGCTTGAACTTTAACACCTCGCAACGCTCGCACTTCAGCCCATCCAGGAGGAGAACCACCAGTCCAGGCGTCCAGCAGATCACAAACGCTCCTGCAAACATAACACAGTTGAGTTGAATTTCTTTTAAATGAAATGACTTGCGCGTTTGTGAGTGTGTGTGTGAATGTCTATACAGATTTCTCATCAGTATCATTTTGTACATACAATTTTATAATTTTGTTACAATTTTATACAAACAAATTTAACATTTTATGAACATTAAATACAATTTATTTAAAGTAAAAATGTGTATATATATATATATATATATATATATATATATATATATATATATATATATATATATTAAATGGTAGAAGGTAAACAAGATATCATGTCACAAAATAATTTTATTATATTTAAAAGTATTTTATATATATATATATATATATATATATATATATATATATATATTTTTTTTTTTTTTAATTATACAATATAATTTTTATTAGAAATAAAACACATACCTATTGTTCGTGTATATACACACTGCTCAAAAAATAAAGGGAACACTTAAACAAACAATGTACTCCAAGTTAATCACATATGTGTGAAATCAAAGAGTGAGATGGGATCCTTTATGAGACCATTCTCTAGTGCAGTAGGCCTTGGTTCCTCCTAACTGTGCATTCACATCAAAAGCGTCACAGTAGCTGGAAGTCATTAATTTTCAATAGGAGCCAGCAGCGATAAATGTTGAAAAGTAGCACGATGCGTCTTCGCCGGTGTGGGCGTTGAGGAGAGTTAAAATCAAGTCAACTTTATGGTTATGAGCTATGACATGGTTCAAGCAATCAGAATGAAGAAGCCACACCACTTGAGAGGATTCCAGAGAACACAGCCTTGTGAAGTTTGGTTCTGACCACAGATTTTTACAAGGGTGTGAATATTGCAGTCGTCGGATTCCAGCTTATTTATGGTATTATCTTACAGGGAAAAAAATAAAAATGTTACTGGTGAGTACTAATGTGCATTAAGGTTATACATGTTTTTTATTATTATTTTTTTTTATTTTAAAGCAGGGATCTCATGTCAACTATAAGGACAATACAAAACAGTATTGCTGCTTCTGGATATTTCAGACATATGGAAATATTTGATAAATAGAGCTAAGCCATACCACACACAACAATTAATTTTCCATAGTTAAATGAATTTGATAAAAGAGTGCAACTTTTCACTCAAGAAATCATGTTTTTTTTAATGCAGGAACGTAAGTGGTTTGCTGATATGCTGCAATGGCCCCTTTAAATCCAAGACAAGCGTAGCGAATTTTGACACTCTCAACGCCTTAGGTGTGAACGCACAGTAATGCAAGACAATGCTAGACCTCATGTGGCTGGAGTGTGTCAGTAGCAAGATGAAGGCATTGATGCTATGGACTAACCCGCCTGTTGCCCAGACCTGAATCCAATTGAGCACATCTGGGACATCATGTCCGACTTCATTCACTAACTCTACATTGCACCACTGACTGTCAAAGAGTTGTCAGATGATTTAGTCCAGGTCTGGAAGTTGATCCCTCAGGAGACGATCTGCCACCTCATCAGTCCTTTGTGAGTCCCCATGCAGTTGGTCCTAGGTTTCTCCTAATGCAGGACAATGTTAGACGTCATGTGGCTTGAGTGTGTCAGCAGTTCCTGCAAGACAAAGGCATTGATGCTATGGACTGGCCCACCTGTTGTCCAGACCTTAATCTAATTGAGAACATCTGAGACATCATGTCTCACTCTTTACACCAACACCATGCTGCATCACAGACTATCCAGAAGTTGGCGGATTCTTTACTCCAGGTCTAAGAGGAGTTCCCTCAGGAGACAATCTGCCACCTCATCAGACTCCTTTAGAGATCCCACGTGGTTGGTCCTCGATTCTTCCTAATGCAAGACAATGCTACACCTCATGTAGGACAATGTTAGACGTCATGTGGCTTGAGTGTGTCAGCAGTTCCTTCAACACGAAGGGATTCATGCTATGGACTGGCTCGCCTGTTGCCCAGACCTGAATCCAATTGAAAACATCTTGGATATCATGTGTCACTCCATCCACTACATTGCACCACAGACCGTCCAGGAGTTGGTGGATGCTTTAGTCCAGACCATCTGCCACCTCATCAGGAGCATGCCCAGGCATTGTAGGGAAGTAATACAGGCATGTGGAGGAAACACACCCTACTAAGCCTCATTTTAACTAGTTTTTAGGACATTAGATCAAAGTTAGACTAGCCTGTAGTGTGTTTTTCTACTTCAATTTTGAATGTGACTCCAAATCCAGGCCACCATGAGATTTTGTTGTCTGCACATTCAACCATGTAGAGAACAAAGCATTTTTTAAGAACATTTCATTTATTCAGATCTAGGATGTGTTATTTTAGTGTTCCCTTAATTTTCTGAGCAGAATATAAATTATTATTTAAATAAATGTTAACAATAATATAATCTGAGACTTTTGATAGCACAAGCTGCTACTCCTATGTTGGTCTAATTGCATCTCCTATTTGCATTTGTAAGTTATTAAATGCAAACTTCAAGTTTCTGATATTTCCAGTTTAAGGGAAATGAAAACAGAGAAAGTGGTCAATAGTTCCCTCTAACAAGCAGCTTCCACAAACAGTGTGACGACTCTGCTGCACATTAACCTTTAACACATTTTTTTGTGCTGCTTCAGAGACGGCAGTGATTTTCTCATTGTTAGTTTTAACTGCACTTTCTGCCCCAACATGTCCAATAACCCTTTTTTTTTTCTCCAAGCCTCGGCAGAGTGACTCACATCAACAGCGCTGCATTTAGTTGCAGTTCTCCTTAATTCTTTCAAATGAACAAGAAACTCAGTCTGCACCGCAAAACAAGCTCGGACAAACAGGACGCCTCTCAGGTGCAAGACATGTAGAAGCACGTCGTTCAAGACTGAAAAAACACTAAAAGTGAACAAAGAAGATGCTGTTCTGAGCTTCTCCAGAACCTGCACCTTCAGTTTTAGCTTTAACCAGTACTTTTTCTTTTCTTTTTTTGAGATTGAGACTTAATTTAACCAGATTTTGCTGTATGTTTGCTTAAATAAAGGAAAAATATATACAGCTACGCATGTAATAAATGACCACCTGAAAATTCTCTGTTTCTTTGGATTTTTTAGGAATGAGTTGGAATAAAATTTCAATACTTATTCTATTCTGTTCTATAAATGTCTGGTAACATTGTTAAAACTGTAAATGTGACATTCTACCAGAAACATCAATTTCCACTCATAAAAAAATGTGACATGGTCCGACCTTTAAGCTTGCCACCCCCTCCTCCCAAAAAAATCTAACAAAAACAATGCATTCTTGATTACTGTCAGCTTCTCCTCTGTCAAATGAGTCAGAGTGATAAAGGTGTATTGCATGAGGACACTTGTAAAATAGTATTTATTTGTAGAATGTATTCATAATTAATAATGTTTTTCATCAATTGATGTGAATGATAACAACTTAAACCTGCCATTTCTGAAGTTTTTATTTCTTAAAATAACAGTTTTTAGCATGACAAAACTATTAAAGCTGTAGGTTCGATTGGGGCTGAAGACAAGTTCAAAGACATGGTTTGTAAATTTGTGATTTAAAAAAACAATCTGAGAACCAAATGAATGACATATTCCTTTACAGAACAGCTCACAGAAATCAACCATCAATCAATTTTCATAATTTTTTTTGGATGAAATACTTTATTCACTGCATTTATGTTTTTATTTCAAAGACAGATAATGTACGTTTCTGGTAGAACGTCCCAAATGTTAATAATAAGTTAGAGCTTTTAAACAAAATACGATTGATTCCCTAATTATTGATTTCTTAATTCTTAAAAAAAAAAATTAAAGTATTACAAGCTTAATAAACATAAACTTTTGAAAACATCAACTATTTTGTCATTATGCAAAATGTTATTATTTGTTTTATTATGCTTTCCCAGTACTGGGTTGTCATCTGCTGTGTAAAACATATGCTTAATAAGTTGGCAGTTCATTCCACTGTGGCGACCCCGGATAAATAAAGAGACAGCATAGGTAAGATGGGAATATTTTGGTTTCAAAGTCACAGACAACGAACAAAACAGGTCATTTATAAAAGCTGTGACAGAATTGTTGCCACGGCTTACAGATTATTGAGCTAAAGCTTGACGGCAATAATAAATCGCAAAAAAAAAAAAAAAAAAAAAAAAAAAAAAAAAAAAAAAAAAAAAAAAAAAAAAAAAAAAAATCGCAATATCTAAATAAATAAAAAATAAACAAAAAATATATCACATTTAGATTTTTATCCCAAATCGCACAGCCCTAAAAGACACTTAGCCTAAAAGAAAATGAAAGAAATTACTATTATTATGCACAAAATTGCTCTAAATTGCATTATTTTAAATCTGCTGATTTTTTTTTTTTTTTTTACTCAAACACACTACTTTAAATAATAAACCAGAAGTGATCAACAATTTAAATGGTCTACTTTTTTAAAAAAAGTACATTGAAATGCATTTAAAAAAATTATAATTTATATCTCATGCAAATGCGATACTTATCAAATTCTTATCAAAGACATTATGGATGTGAAATTTGCAGTAAAATCTCAAAACATAAAATCACAAGTATAGTACAGGCTAACATTATATTGAAACATCTATTTATATTTTCCAAAGCAACTAACCACAGTTAAAGGATCAGAAAATATCAATTTGTAAGCAATTTTTATATTTTAAAAGAGTTAAATAAACATGCATTATGGATGTGACCAAAAAAGTTAGCGAGTTTACAGTATACAAAAACTTTGTAGAAATTCTGGGAATTAAACTGCACAACCCGAAAGAAACAATGTTAATCAAAAGGATAAGAGTCGCTTACTATAGAACAGATTGTAGAATCAAATAGATTGATTCTATTTTATTTGACATTTTTTGCATTTATGAGGAAAAGCTTCATTATGGATGTAAAATCTCTCTGTTATTGATGTGACAGATGTGATATTGACACTTGTGTGATTTTGGTAAATCAAATATAATAGTTTGAAAACATTGACAAAGACATTTTGA